CTTGCGGTCACATCAAGTTGAAACACCGGTTACACGTACGATCACGGCAGTTAAGCAACGTCGAGCCTGTTCAGTACGTAGATGGGTGACAGCTGGAGAATATCAGTTGCCGTAAGTTTGAATGCGTGGGTTGTGTAATGGATTAGTAAGTTAAGTCCCGCACGTGATACACGCTTGGGCGGTCATGTATCTTTCGATAAATGACAGTCGAGGCGGAAGATTTTTTTTTTTCCCAGCAGTAGGTAGCAATTTCTTTCTGCGCTGTAATTGATAATGTCTCGTTATTGTAAATCGGAGAGCCGAGTTCGAATTCCAGTCGGGTTCGTCATATTCATTTTCGCACAAATACTCTTAGGAAGTGTACGAATGCACCTCTACTCCCCCAGTTATGGGTTAATTAGTAAGGCTTCTAGCACTAAATGATTATTAACTCCAAAAATAAAATAAAACTGAGGAGACGATCATGACTCTCCACCTTAGGGAGAATTTATTGATACAAATAAATTTACAAAGAAAAGATCAGTATGAAACGTGGTCAGTGTCGGATTTGTAGTTGGCATGATCATGACATATATATATATATATATATATATATATATATATATATATATATATATATATATATATATCATACAGCTCTCTGCAAGTTCCTTCCTCAGCTTCCTCCTCCAGACCACGTTCTATCATCGACTTGTTTAAGCCCGCCAGGCCAGATATATCACGCATTGTTTTGCCTTGTCTCTCTTCCCTCTATTCGACACGTGAGTATCAGATTCTCCAGGCCCTCCTTCCTGCAATCTCATCGCTGTTGACACGCTAGGTCCATGATATCCTTAGCGTTATTCTGTAGAACCACAAACCAATTGAGGTGTTGATATGCCTTTTTTTTTAGTGTGTATCGTGTAGTTTTTGTTTGAATCTTCGAGCTGCTTCACCTTGAACCTAGCTCCTTTTATCTTATAAGATCAGCTGCAATTACCTTTCTATTCGTTTATTTCCCTTTCATTGTTTTGTTTCCTGCGAGGCGATGGCTTCATTTATTCCTTTCGCTCTACCAGGTTTTCTTGTTTTAAAACACTGGGAAAAATCTTATAGCGCATGACAGAAAAATATGACACTGCAGAAGATTCCTTACAAATGCTACACAGAGTATTAACAGATAGAAAACGTTGTTAGCAAGACAGAAAATAATGGTTCAGTGATATGTAATATCAACCCTCGTATATGGCTGTTAATGCCGAACAGTTTTATTAAGATACAGGGAAAATTCTTGAGAAACAAAGGAAAGAGTATTGAACTGATATATAATATTTAATCCTCCTCACAGATGAATTGTGACGAGAGAGGTGTTGTTAAAAATGCAGAGACTATCATAGACTGAACATCTGTACAAAAAGACGATTTTGTTAATTATTTCACCCCAAGCAAGCCACTAAGTCTGAGTGTTAGATAATACCAGAAAAATATGCTATCAATGTGAGATAACAAGAAAAAGAAGAATAACAAGTCAGAAAATAAAGATTGAAATTGTATTTTCTTTTTTGAAAATCAAATTTGGCAGTGAAGAAAAAAGCAGGAGAGAGTTCAACAAGTGCGACAGAAGAAGACTTCAGGTTACATCTAACCATTCCTACGGTAAAACCTTGCCACAAATCTACTACTGCAATAAATTCATAAATTCTAGGTGCCATGAAGCAAAGTCCATCAGAAACAATTGCCATGGAAGTATTTACGGAAGAGGCACACGGAAGATACGTTACGAAGGTTGGAAAGTGTCTGAAGACGAGATGCCAGATCAGGATAAATAACATTGCAGATTTTGTTTTGGATTTCATCAAGTATCTTTAAATATATAGCAGAAGAACCAGACCAGATCTGGCCTCAATATTCGAAGCCAAAACGAAATTTAATTGAGAAACATTGTCTAGCTAAACACAGTGAAACAACTTTCGTAGCTGCAGACTTACCAACTATGTCAATATACTGTTTCTACCTCATAGCGGAAAACGTTAGTCTTAGACAGCGCTATCAGACATTCTCTTGGGGTATCTCAGACGATTTTAAAAAGCAGTTTCGTTTTGGGGGCGTTTAAATTAACAAGCCACTCTTTGCCCGATTTAACAACAGATCGTAGGTCTTTTTAGATCAGCTGCCACTATGACCTTATCTGATCAGGCTTACTATTAAGTAGGAGTAAATGGTTGTGTTATCAACATCGATACCGGGAACTGATGACATCTAGAATTTCATTCATGAGAATTAGGAGCAACGTAGTTTCACGGAGAGTCCTGGAACACACCTGCATTAATGACACAAGAAGAGTGGCCAATTACATTCTAAGTGCTTATAGGTGGTGCTCACGTGATCGAAGATTAAGTTGATTGCTGCTGTTACAGTGTAAACATGGCCGATATGCTAGCAGTGGATATCAAGAAAGAACAAAGAGTACTGATCCAATTTCTCTGTTTGGAATGTATGTCAGGGGTTGAAATTCATCAGATGCTTTTAACACAATATGGCGGCAGGGCACTATCGTTTAGAAGTGTGGATGAGGGGATCGAGAAGGTTAAAATTCTCCGGTCATGTGGGGCACATGAAATTGCTGTAGGACGCCCGTCACTAACGATAAAATTCAGCAAGCTCGAAAGAGGTTAATGGCGAACTGGCGAGTTATCTTCAATGAGGCATTATGTTCTTTGCAGATCCGGATCACAACACATTGTTCTTCATTGGTGCACACTGCTAGCGGAACAGTTATGCTTCCACTGTACCAGTAGCAAGAAAATTGGCGTAATCAATCTCAAAGTTCTATCATGTGACCACAATAGGACCAATTATAAGCACGCATGATTAGAAGTCAATGTGCCAAAGCAAATCATCAAAATCATCATCATCATCTTGCGGCCTCAGCCGTGATTGAACTCACTACACCTCTCCAGTATTCCCTATCTGTCATAGCACCTAAAAGATCTCCCTTAGGGATCAATGTGTCTCGTTTTATCCTATCTGGAAAGGTTAACTTGCGTGATCGATTGTCAGATGATGGGTGCCTCCAGAGTACAAATGATGACAAGTTCATCTGTGGCACGTGCACAATGCCCGGCGAACTGAACACGTCTCTTACAAACTAAAGTTGATACTCTTGGCAAGTAACCATATATCATTTCTAGAGTTGGGCGGTTTCGCCATGAGAGATTAAGCACTCTTCTTAAAAGACGTGTATAACATCCATCTAAACGACGCTGTTGTTTTGCTGAGAGAGTCCAAGTTTCAGAGCCATAGAGTAAGATTGGCTCAATAAGTACGCGGAAAAGTTGAATTTTGAATTGACGAGCAAGATTGGATTTCCAGATCTTATCCATTTTGTTACAAGCAGTCCATGCTATACCTTTTCTAATGTTGAAGTCTTTCTCAGAGTTCTTGATGTGTTATCCTAGATACTTGTAGTCTTCGACACATTTGACGATGTTATCTGAGAGTGTTTTGATCTCATGATTGTTGCGAATGTTAATTGGCATACACTCAGTTTTAGTTTCATTTAGGTGTAGACCTGCACAGTTACCTGCTGATTCAAGAGAAGAAAGGAGTGCTTGGACACTAATGAGGTTGTCAGACAACAGTGCAATGTCATCGGCAAAATCAGCAAAAGTTATGGCGAAAGTACGGAAGATATTTGACCTACTCTCATACTTAGAATCAGAATAAAACAGATGAAATTTCTGGGACATATAATGAGAAATAAACGATTGGAGAATTTGAAACACATATAATTTTGAAAGCAGAATAATAAAGAGCTCTTGTAAATGTACGGTAGAAGAGTCACTGGTAAAAATAATAAAACGGGAAACAATGGTTCTGGCTACAAAGAATAGGAAGTTGTAGAGAGCCATGTTTCCCCACGGCCGGAAAAAAGTGCGACACATAAAAGAAGAATCTTTTAAAACATATTTATCACGTTTATTCAAATATCCCCATTAAAATAAAAATTTAAAAAAAACTTAATTGCAGCAAACATTAAAAGTATTTAAAATCATTTGATGATTTTCTCTCGTGTTTATATATTGAAGATTGATTTTCATAAACTAACGTTTAAATTCGCATTCGTATCTTGCCGTTTATTGAGATGTTTTAAAGCACTTAACAGTTCCCCTCTATATACTGATGATGTTCTAAACAATTTTTCGACGATATTCGATTCTGGGTCCTAATTACATCTTAAATCCGTTCATATGAAGCACTTTGCTACATTGCTTCCTTTAATTTGTCTTATAATAATTCCACATATTTCTACGATTTGTTTATGAGAAAAGAAGAAATGCAAAATTAATTAATGAAAACATTTAAATGAATAGTTTAATGTAAACTCTCTCTCTCCACCACCTCCTCTCTCTCCCTATCTCTCTCCATATAAATATATATATATATATATATATATATATATTTGTATCCTAAACTTTTACATACATATATATATATATATATATATATATATATATTTGTATCCTAAATCCTTTAAATATATTATATATATATATATATATATATATATATATATATATTTATATCCTAAACATATATATATATATATATATATATATATATATATATATATATATATATATATATATATATATGTATATATAATTTTATTAAGTTTTAGAGTTTAGGATACAAATGGTAATTTGTAACGTGCATTCGTTTTTATTTAAAATGTAGAGTGAATACATAAATGTACAAAAAATAATTGATAACCAATAATAATGAAGCATTTTGTGCTCAACAAATATTGTAATTTGGGAAAAAGTAAGACACTTTATGAAATGATTAAGAATTTTAGGAAAACTATAAATTTATCATTCGTCCATTGTTAGATCTTCAAAACTTTCACTGCGTTCTTCATTTACGTTCATGAAGGTAGTTTTTTCAATTTCTATGTGACTGATAATTGCACAATTCCTTTAAAAAAAACGGAGAAACTTAGATTTTCTAATAAGTAAAAGTTTAAGTTTGTATCTACATGACATAATACCACACACCAGCACTGTCAATCTTTATTTAGTTTATAACCTGTTCTTTTTTGTTCGTCCGCAGCAGCTAAAGTTTTTGTAGGGCAAT